ACTTCGCTCAGCTACCCCGTGCACATTGACTACGCACGGGCCCCTAGTAATATTACATCGGGAATGACGAGCAGGGGGTTACGCGCGACGCCACGCCACCAACCGTTCCAGGTGATCGGGTTGTGTAACGCTGCATATCGGGATGCTCTAAATACAATTCTTTCGGAAGGGAAGGGATAGGAGACGCAGAGGAAAGGGTAAGGGGGAAACATGCAGAGTGGGGAGCGTATACACCGCTAAGAACAATCTGCGTCCTCTTGCCCACAAAATCCAAGGTGATTTCAAAACTGATTATTTTCCTTTAATTTTATGTATTGTTATTACTGCTATTTTATGAACGTAGTAAATTTGCGAAACAACGAAACACGCTCGTGTATTTTGGCGCGGGATATACGCGAAATTTGCACCACAGACGATAATCCGAGTACGAGCGGCACAAAAGGACCGACGATTAACCCCTGGTGCCTTTCGACTGCTGTCGCTCTGATTGCCCTATACAACTGGACAGCAGTTGCGCGAGAGGGGGCGGAAGGGTGGTGCTGGGAGGGCAGAGAGAGAGAGAGAAAGAGAGAGAGAGAGAAAGAGAGAGAGAGAGAAAGAGAGAGAGAGAGAAAGAGAGAGAGAGAGAAAGAGAGAGAGAGAGAGACTGGGAGGGAAGGAGGTGGCCGAGCTGCTAATCGTCAACTCGGGGCTGCTTAGATAACACGCACAACGACAGTCCTAATTGAGATACGCGACAGAGGGCGCACGGTGAAGGGGGAGAGGAGGGGTTGAGGGGGTGGGGAGGCGCTCTGCCGCGGTCCTGACGGACACCCTCGAGGCCAGGGGGAGAGGTGTGGGGGGAGGGTTTAGGGGAGGAGAAAGGCGTGTGAGTCACACGACACAAAGGTGCTCCGGGGAGGAGAGCGGGCGAGAGAGAGCGAGAGAGAGAGAGATTGGAGGGGGTGAGCGTGACCATGTACGCCTGGGCGGCGATGAGAAATCAGGCGGGGCAGAGGACGGCGTCGCTTTCATTATTCATCCCGTGTCAGCGGCGCGGCCGAGGCGCGGCGGGGCGGGGGCGCGGCCCTCTCTCCTCTCACTCAGACGGCCTCGAATCAGTTCCCATCAGACGGCCTCAAAACAGTCGCAGGAGGCCATACTCTTACTTAAGCTCCGCATTTTTTATGGATCACCGATTTGACTTACTTAGTAGAAGTAAAGGGTTGTTTTTTTTCGACAGTTCCTTGTTGTTGTTGCTTTTTTTCTTTTGTATTTCAGTAGCACGCATAACCATAACAGTTATCTTTTAATTTCCTTTGAATGTCAAAATAAGCAGCCCTTGAGTCAAGCTATGGGACTTACGCGTGCTCGTCCTATACCAGGTGGTTTGTCGACCCACCCCTCCTCCCCCCAGAGGGTGGAGCAGGGTTGGAGCGGTGATGGACGCGCTCTCCACGGGCGTGATTAGTGTGCTGCAGGCGGGGGAGGCGGTCGGTCCGGGGAGGGTGAGGAGGGAGGGGAGAGGGGAGGG